TTGGATAAGGTACTTATATTCTTAAATTTGCATGATCTTAAGGTGTATTCATCCTTTTATTCTTTGCCAACACTAAGCTCCTAGACTGCTCTACGTCTTTTACAGGCCATTTTAGTCACATGGTACCCTTTGCTAAAAAGAAATAAGAGTGCATCTTAAAAGGAGCAGGTTTTTAGCAAGTCAAAATTTCCACAAAAGAATGTTCATTTTGCAGGAGCTGTACTTCTGTGCTGAATTTTTCTTTTATGTTATGTTTTTATGTTTTTAAATGTTCAACTACTAACCAGCTCTTGCAACAAGGCTTGGCTGTTCTCCTCAAAATGCGTTTTTTGGTGTAAATAAGTAACAGAAAGTATTATAACAAAAGGGTGATCCAAGTATCTTCAAGTCAATGGAGAGATCTCCAAATATCTCAGTGTACTGTGTTTATGTGGCAAGGGCTTGGCCGTGTGGGGGCTACAGGAGTGGCTTCTGTGGTGCAGACCATGGTGAGGCACCTGTCCCCCTGCAGCCCTTGGAGTGCCCCAGGGGAGCAGAGACCCACCCTCAGCCCATGGAAGCCCCCTCGCTGGAGCAGATGGATGCTCAAAGAAGGCTGCGACCCCATGGGAAGCTCATACTGGTGCGGTTTTGCTGGCAGGACTTGTGACCCCACAGGAAACCCACACTGAATCAATCTGTTCCTGAAGGACTGGACCCTGCTCAAATGACCTGAGCTGGAACAGAAGAAGAGTATGAGGAAGAAGGAGCAGCAGAGACAACCTGTGATGAACAGCACAGTTCCCATTCCCCATCCTCCTGTGCTGCCAGGGCCAGAGGACATAGAGAAAATTGGGAGTGAAGTTAAGTGCAGGAAAAGGGAGGGGTGGGGGGGGAATGTCTTTTATGATGTAGTTTTTATTTCTCATTACCCTCCTCTGATTTGATTGGCAATAAATTGAAGTCATTTCCTCAAATTGAGTCTCTTTTGCCTGTGACAGTAATTGCTGAGAGATTTCTCCCTGCACTTTTCTTGACCCACAAGCCTTTTGTCACAATTTTCTTCCCCTGCACAATTGAGAAGGGGAGTAATAGAGTGACTTTGGTGGGCACCTGGCATCCAGCCCAGGTCTATCCGCCACATTCACAGACACATTCTCAATAAAATACACCAAAGGAAGGTCATAGCCTTTTGTTCTAGGCATCTAATTTAGGTAGGAATCACAGAAACATGAACCTAAATATCTCATAGAATTGAAAGAAACAGAAGCTAAATTAAATGCTTATACTGCTGTGACATGCAATGATACTTTCTCTACATGGTTTTCATGCTAGATTTAAATAACAAATACGTTCACATGAAGACAAACCACGGCTGCTGCCTTTTGCTTAGCCTTCATGGAAGTTTTCTCTGCACACAAGGACTAGCTAGGGGATTTAAGACTATGAACAGACCATTTACCTGAAGACTGACACATGAAGTCACACTGGTCCAGAATAATTTTCAAGGACTAAAATTTTGTTGTTTTGAAACAACTTCTCTGAACCAGAGCAATGGTGATGATGATAATAACCATCTTTTTACCAGTCTCTTGAAAAGGGCATCACTAAGATCAATGGAAAAATTAATTACATGCCCTTGAGTGAAGAAAAGAATTAATGCTGTTATTGTAATGGAAGTTTACTAATTCAAGTTGTTAATCCTAAAGTGTTAAAGTCAAGCACTGCATAGGTTTTCTGCCACACTTATGATTGCATCCTGTGACTTACATTTTTAATTACCAGCTCAGCCATAACTATAAATACACCGTCTTTCAGATAGCTTGTTAGGTAACAATGGGAAAATAAACAAACATAGCTCAGTTTCTTAGCCAGAAGAGCTCTTCAACTTGCCCTGTTCTAATCAGTTCACGAGTACTGTTCATAGATGATGCATGGATCAGATATCCACAAAAGGCAACATAATGAAGCCAAGATGTTGTTTACACCAACACTAGAAACAAACGATAGCAAGAGTCACGAACCAGCAGAGGAGCTGGTTTACAGTTTCCTATCCATACATTTTTCTAGTTACACGGTTCTTAAAGTGGTTTTTCTTGTGGAGAGTGTATCATCAATCAAATGAAAAACACTTCAACTTTTTCAAAAATGGAAACATAATAAATGTTATTTATGAGGACAAGAGCATATCACAAACAATAAATGCAGTGTCTAAAAGCTATAATAGCAAACAAATATAACTAATAAAATCTTGTTTAAAATTGAGAAAGAATTCAGTGGAATGTCTGTCTGGTCAATGAAAGGATGTTCCTTCCCACTCCCACTGACTTTATCTATTTACAACATCCACATGTCCCAGTGCTGAAAACAAAAGATGGAAACCCTTCAAAGAGCCTGGATGTGCCTCAATATCTATGTATCAAAAGCAGTATTGTTATAGTCTATATAGTGAGGAGTTGGCCAGCTGGTAAGACATTTTGAACACAGCTCATAGAAAAATGAAAAGCTTCAACAAACAAGAGCCAGAAGCAAGACATAAGCAGTGAAGATTTGGGGTTTCAATCGTTATTTTACTGTTTTATCTATTTATCTTCCAAAAATTCAAAAGTCAATTTTTAGTGATTATTCTAAATGCAGCACTCAACAAACATCCTTGAAGAAAATTACAGTCAGAAATTTTCATGCCAAGAAAAAAGGCAAAAAAAGAAAAATTACATACATCATGGACAACAGCATCATCTTGCATATTATTTAATGTATCATAGTGTAATGTGACACACCATTTGCCACTAGTTATTCTAAATCTCATAATACTGAAAATATCTCTGTCCACATAAAATATTAAAGGCTATAATGAAGTAGTCAAAGAGCCAAAAAAGTAAGTCAAAACTACTAATTCACTCATTTTCATTTCTCCTTTCTAAATTCTCCATCAGTGAGAAAAAAAAAATATTTAAAAAATAAAACTTATCATGCAGCCAAATCCACAGAGTTCTCCAACACCATCATTGTCCTTCTGTTTAGGTCCTCCAATAATGAGAGGAGCAGATAAAACAGAATATGCCGTACTGTGAATTGGAAAAAATGCAGAACACAACAGAAACAGAGTGCACATCCATAAGATCAGAAAAACAGAGACCAAACTGTAATATCGCCTCATTTGACTTTCTGGTTTGAGCATCCATCTCCTGGAGAATGCCTATTCTTTCACATACTTATCTGTTGCTCTCTGTCCACAAATGCTGTCTAGCTAACTAGATGAAGTCCCTCACATAACCTTCAGAGAGGCACAGCTAAATTAGGCCATATATCAGAGCATATGAAGAGAGCTTTAGCACAATGAACACTGGAAAATGTCTCTGTTGTAACAAGAAGTAAGGAGGAAGAGCTCAAAACCTCTGTGACCTTACACTTGTTTTATCTCTCTGAATACTAAACTGATTTTCAAGCTCAAAGATTGCAAAACCTCTGTGTGATATATTGGCAATTTTAATGTTTTGTTTTTTTGGGGTGGGGCGGTGGGAGGGGGTGTGGTTCTTTTTTGGGACTTTTTTTGTTTAAAATGTTTCATTTTTTCTTATAATTTAAAAATAATTCACCTCACTAGTGACTGAGCATAAGGCCTATTTTCAATAGATGTGGAAGAATATAAATGGAAAAAATGTATTCAGAAAAAAAAAGCCCGTAGCATTAATATTAATAAGTTAAAATTAGACACAGTCTGACCTTGTGAATTACTCAGGAGACCTGATTAAGTGCAATCAGATTCCAAGCACTATAATGCTGGGAATAGTGTCTGACCTAAGAGCTTTTCTCATCATGAAATGTCAGCAATAATGACCTCAAGCAACTTCACCCTGAATTTGGTCTGCCTTTGATAAAATACCATGATAGATCCATGAGGTAATAGTAACTTACAAGCTTATAGAGTCTTCATCATTAAGCATGACATTTTTCCTATACAAAGTGCCAAACTGGAAAGAGAGGCCAAAAGGTCACAATCCGAGGAAGAAACCTTTCAAAAGGCTTTCTTTCAGCAGAGGGTTGCTGCAAAGCCAGTGCTGCTAATGTGATCCACAGGGGCTCTCTTCAACAAGCCTGATGGGACAGTTTTAAAACGACCAGTTAAATGCCTGTGGAGATCCAGCTCCCTAATTATTGACTGACCTACGTATTTTTGACATCAGTTATGCCCCTGAGAACTTGACTTGACAGGTAGTTAAAAGACCACAGTTAAATAAATTCTGAAATAGCCAAGACAAGCAGCCTGACTTCCTAAGAAGATTAGTTTCTTCTGTTCATCAGAATGTTTTGGGAACTGTGTAAAAACAGACACCGTTTTGAAAGAATAGAACCTTGCAAGATTTTGAATGCCAAAGAGCTAATACATACACACATGTATCACAGTCTAAAATATATAAAATAATCTGTGCCATGACCATCTGTTGATCAGGATACATTCACATGCAAGCCCTGGCCCTCAAGAAAAATGGAAATTTCAGTTTAGTCAATCACTATTGAAAAGCAAGTTAGAAAGCTAAACATTGAGTCAAACAGGGAGGCAAATATGCATTGTAAGACTGAGCAGAATGAGGGCTTAGCACAGTACAGAGAAAAATTAGAACAGAAAGAAAATAAATGAAAGGAGCAAATGAAGGATGATTTATCGCTCTTCAAGAGTAAGCCCTAAGAATTTCAGAAATGCAGCTATTTTTGTAAAAAAAAGTAATGTTTTATTATTTCTTACATTGATCAATAGATTTAGAGCTGAAAATAGTGGATAAATGGCATGCTGCTTGTACCTTCATTGTGCTGGCATGTACTGTTTTCCATTTTTCTGCTTACTCCAGTGAACACAAAGGTTTCACATGAAACCTAAATCCTCCATCTACCTCTAGAATTAAAATTCCATCAGAATCTAAACTTCACCTGTCTGACATGACTCTAAATAGAAAAAGCATAATCAAGGAGACTATAGATCTTGTATAATCACCTTTCTGAATCATAGACATGTACAGTACCTGTGGATGTATCTACTGTGAAAAAAGAAGAAAATTCTCCTGGGACCAATTCATATGTGACAATTCCAAACATTCCTGAATCTCTGTCTGTGGCAGCAACATTGATGATTTCTGTTCCTGGCTGTGTGTGACTGCTGATACTTGTCACATAGGTGTCTTGCTCAAAAACAGGTTGATTGTCATTAATATCTTCTATCTCAATGCGAACAAAAGCTTGGGCACTTAGACCACCCTGTTGGATAAATAACAAAAAAAAAAAAAAAACAACAACAAAAAAACAAGATTATTTTTTAAATAGGACCGTACACAGCTGGCTTCAGTTCACCATTAGGAAATAGAGCATGCTGCAACAATATTGATCAATGAAAATGTCCATTAAAAGCAAATTACAGTACCTGCAATACCCCAAAACACTGCACAGAAGTAAGCTATGTGCTCAACACAACACCAAGGGCTGATGGAGTCCATAAAGAAGTTTAATTTCTCTACAATGGCGAGGCCTGAACACAAAGTCAATTTTGTTAATGCTAATGAGCACCACACATCAAAAACCTTGCTAGTCTAACTTTACATGCTTCTGCTGACGTCTTCAACACTCCGCTTATTCCTTCACAGATAAAAGTCAGGGCTTTATGCTCCAGGAAGACATGCCCCTCACATGACTGTGGTGCTTCAGTAGAGAGAAGTTATTCCTGCTTTATGAGACTTTCAGATGTAAAAGCATGACCATCATAATGGTGAATATGAGTCTTTTTCAACCAGGGACACAAACTAAAAAGCAGTGCAGGACAGCCAAAAGCTGACTTGTCAGGCTGCTGCCTACAATGCCTGTGCTCAATTCACTGACAGATGCCCTACAAAAGCCCATTAAAATACCACATGAGACCACATTTAGCCTTGCTCTGGAGTGAAACTGGAGAAGAAAGGAGCAACTACAAGCTGGCTTATCACACCATGCTCCACAAAAATACTGATTTGCTATGACAAAGCACTGAATTTTCTGACAACCTGCAAAAAAGACCGTTCTCTGGGTACTGAAGTGTAGACTCCACAGGCACCTGAGTGAAACTAATGGCAATTTACTTCTCAGAGGACTCCTTCCATGAGTTTGGAGGAGTTTATGTTTCCAAGACTATTTTGTAGCCATAGGAAGTACAAGCATTTTTAAAAGAAAACAGGTCCACTGTGGCAGAGATAACAGTGAATTTGGGAGCACTGACGTGCTAAGAGGCACGAGGCAGCACAGGCATATACAGTCTGCTTGTGCTTTATGTGGTACATTAAAATACAGATGGAGGAAGAATCCTGAGCTCTTCAAAGTCCACTGAGCATGCTGTGCTTGTAGCAGTCACTTTGAGAAACTGCTGACACAGATCTGATGTTCATGCATACAAATAAACTATGCTGAGCTAGTACAAACTTCATTTTGCAGTCACAGTAGCTGTGATACAGAGAAAACCACACCAACCCAAAACCAAGTAGGTTGTATAATTCTGCAGTCCAATTGTACACGTCAATAATGCTGACCTTCATTAAACTATCCAAGGATTCAGACTGGATATGACTCCTTTAGACTTATCCTGCCAAATAACAGTCTCCCACAAAACTATTTTTGAGTGTTTGCTTAGTGTGTCCATAGGTTCAGACTAATTAAAAAAAAATACTATCAGCATTTACTTACACATTTTCATAGTGATTTTTTGCTTTATCCTGTTGGTTTTTTTTTTCTTCTGTGTTGTAAATGTTACCACTGTTGGGTGAAGTGATATAAAGGCTCAAGTAAATGGAAAATTAAGATGATCGTGTGCATCATGTGTCTGTGTTTCACCCACAAACAAGATCTATCCCACATCCTCCTGGTGTGCTTCTGAAGAAAATAAGGCATGGCATGCTTCCAGGGTTCATGCTGCTGCACAGGCAGCCAGGACTCTTGCCTGGAGACCAGGACTCTAAAGAACAGTAATCAGCCTACAAATTACTGGGACTGCCATGAATACCCATGCCAATATGAAGAAATGTGGATGGCAGTAAGTCCAACACCAACATCCCCACTTCAGGGCAAGCCCCTTCCCCAGTACCTTGATTTCCATGATAAGGAAATCCCTGCACAGGAGCTAAAAAGGGAACGCATGGGAAGGGGAGGGAACGTGTTCTGCTCACATTCAGAATATGCTCTGTATGTCCACGGCTTTCAGGTACTTTAGAACAGAAATCAGAAGTATTTTTAAGGAAAGAGGACCAGGAAAGTGGGGTCAAGAATAAAAAGCATGTAAAAAGATGGTTGGAAGAGCATGAAACCAAACTCACAAGAGCTTGTGTTAAGCTGTTTCTTTCAAGCTTCATTATTGCCAAACAGACATGAAAAATCCCCAAACCCCATTCTTCAGCCAATTTGTATTCATGCTACAGAGTTATATAAAGACTGAAAAGTCTTTTGAAATTGATTAACTCTAAGTATATAGGGAAACCTATTGTCTAAGAAAATTGACCAAATTTTATGATGGAAACAGAACCTTCCTTCCCTGAAGAAGCAGTGTATATCTTCACATGCCAAGTATGACATTTACTTAATAACTTAATGATATTAACTGGTTGTGGCCAATTCTCACTCTGACAACTGAAAAAAAGTATCATTCCAGTTGAGAAGGAACTAAAGCTCCTTCAATTTCTAATGATGTGGATATACTTCATCTACTCAGAAGCAAGCAAAACTTTTATCTTCCAAAACATGAAGGCTGACTTACATATATATATTACTGACATAAAATTACATTTGGCAAAACATGTTAACAAGCAACAGAGAGCCACAGCTGTTCATTTTAAAATCCCTTATCTCAAATGTTCAAGTATTTTTAATTACTGTTGTACTCTCTGGTACAGCAAAGTCACAATTGCAATGATTTCTCTGTCAGAGTCCTGACGGTTGTGTCCCTCACGGAAGAAAAAGGGAACATAAGCTACCATCAAGTCAAAATAACAACAACTAATGTTTTCATTACTTCAGAAGGATCAAATTTGTGTGAATAGCTAAAGCTATTAGTAGACCTCTTTATCAAGTCTTAAAAAAAAAAAATTATCCTGCCTTTGGCAGGGGAAACTCTTTGTCATAACAAGTTGAAATTATGCTATTTTGAACAGCTGTATTTCTTTATTTCAGTGCTGTAAAGTGCTTAAAACTCTATCAAGATTTTCATCGCAGCCTCCAAAGTTTTTGTCTGTGAACTATGCTGTCAAATTTTTGTTCCAAATTGAACTGTTAGATACAGAGTCACTGACATAAAGGCTTCTTTTTTGTAAACCTAAAGGGTATGTCATCTTGAAGTAATGCTGTCAAAGTGATGTCTCCAATTATTTCAAAAGCCTTAAGTTCTTCAGAAGCTTTGCCTCTGATTTATATCTAGGTTTCAATTGCTCCAATGTAAAAGAAAAAATTAGATAGGCAGGGTGGATTACCAAAAAGCAAGAGACAAAGCGTCTCTATGCAGAAAGGCAGTAAGAGAGTCACTAACACACCTGCTGATGCTGTATTGAACCTTTTGCAGTGATGCTGAGTCAACTATAAAACTGAAGACTGACCATTTCATACAGGAGATACAAGGATACTTTTCATTTTTGCTTAATCAGTGAGAGTGCTCCCACAAGCTCTCACAGGATGTTTATTTAAAACCAATTTAACAGAAGCTGTTTTCCACCTGCCTCTCCATGGGCTCTTGTGTGTAATTCAAGTTCACTCCTTACATTTTCTACACAATGCATTAAAGGCATGACAGACAATTTCTAAAGCCATGTAATGGAGTAGCCAGGAACAGGTGGAGGAAACTGATAGTTTTGCTGTAAGATAAACTGCACACCACCTGGAAAATACTTTAGTTTCCTCCTCATTTCTAATTAGATGTGTTATTTTTCTTTCCTTTTCATCTTTCTACCCTTCTTTGTCACAAGTGACCTTTCATCCTTCCTCTCTCTCTTCTGTGCACATTTCTTCCTTGATCACAGCCTCTACTTTGAGCCCCATACCTAACATCTTTAATCCATCAAAATCAGCAGCAGAATGTCAGGAAATAAGATAAATATCCTGCTACAATTCTGCTTTAAAGGTAGAGTTGGTCAACACAAGTTCAGGTGCACTAAAAACTTTGAAAAGCTGATATTGTATTTAGATGCTTTAGTATTCAGGTGTCAGTGAGCAAATGTCTACAAAGTGCTGACTTCCAGTAAAAATTCAAGCCTTACCTGCCACAAACAAGGCAATAAAAACTGAGCCTTTCTCCCCATCATTGAACTTCTGAAAACACAAGGTCCATAAATAGAGATAAATGACAGAGCAATTTAAAAATTAAATACCCTGTAGTTTCAAATAATTACCTATTTTCCTTTAACCTTAAAGTAAGATTGATCAATAGAGCAGTAATTTAACTTAAAAAAATAAGGCATCAAGTTTTATTTCATGCAAACATATTTGCTTTCAGATTTTCAAAATTATTTTCTGTACTTGACTGAATATCTTAGAAACTTTTCAGAATTTCACGGCTATTGTCCAGCTCTGACATACCCTTTATTAATGATTAATCTTGATATTTCAGACATGTGTATGTGTCCTTTACATTTATACAGCTTCAAAACATGTGAATGAGAGGAAAAATGAAATTATGAAGCATAGCAGAATGCCTAATTTTCAGCTGTTGTACATTTCAATACAGACTGCTTTACTCTTCAAAGTTTTTTTGGATATATGTATTAAAGTATAAATTTTGAAGGCAGAAATCACATACAAGTGAAATTCCAAAATGGTCAAATAGAACTACCTTTGCTATAGACATTACAGTGTCCTGGAAAAACATTCTCTTATATCCTTATATTAACATCATAGAATGGTTTGAGTAGGAAGAGACCTTTCAAAGGTTTTCCAGTCCAAACCCACTGTGATGAGCAGGGTCAAGTTATTAGACATTCAAATCAGAAGACTATGGAAGCAAACATACAAATATATTTATGTATTTTTTTCTGCTCTAAAGAAATCTATAAGGAAAAAAAAGCACACTGCTAAAAGCAATATTAATTAAAGAATATTTCTGTTGCCTCTGAA